ATCTAATCACAGGCATTGAGGCCAACTTGTCTGAGAAGCTGTGTGTCGCAGACCATAAAAATGCATACTCAGTATTTCTTTCAAGAAACCCTCAGTTTTTTCTCTAAATGGGAACAAATCTTTTTTGACAGACAGTTCTTCAGCTTCCTGATGTACCTTTTTTGGCTTCTTCTGGTCACCTCCAACTACACATTTGACTATTTTTCTGCACTGCTGCATTGCAAAATCTCAAGTAATTTATCTCCCATCCAGCTGGCGCCTTTCAGGTCCCACAAGTAAGGGTGGGGGGCACCTTTCAGGCACCAACAGCTGTAGCAGAAAAGGCAGTGTTCCCACCTGCTGCAAGGCATGGAGCCAGCCCAACCTCTCCAGCCACACCAACCAACAGTGTCTACATTTCCTTTTCACCCCTAGGAATGGACAAGACTTCACAGCTAGAATAGTTGAGAAGTACAGAAAACCAGTCATATATATGCAGGAAATAAATTAAATATAAGTAGTCATTACAGCATATGACTTGTTTGAATATTTCTGATTTTTCAAGACTTCATTATAATTATTGGCTATTTTCTTGATTGAGTGTTATTTCTCATCTTTTACTGTGGACGTTTTTTGTTTTGTTTTTGTTTTTTAATGAAATATAGCATTTGTACCAGAAGTTTCTGCTTTCCTGAAAATTTTCAAGGCATCAATACTGGAAACCTTCAACTTTAGGAATAAACTATCTAATGTACATGCCTTCATGACACAGTGAATGCTGGAGTTCAGACACTGGGACATAATATTTTCTGTGGGCCATGTTTCCTAGACAGAGGCAATCTGCCAGGATGTGCTGTGGCTTTCAGATTCCCTGTGGCATCAGGTCGTCATTGCGTGTGGTAGGAGGTAGAGCTCTAATATGATAAACCCAGTATATGGACAAAAGGGGAGCAGCAGAGCACCTAGTCTACATTTGTATTTGCATACTGTGGCAGATAATCTTCACAAATCCAGCAGTTTACAGCTGTAGTTATTATAATGATAGTGGTGTAGTATCATGAAGGCTTAGTAATTCTTTCTGTTGGAATTATTAATTTTTATTCAACAGTTCAGTAGTTAGTAGTTGTAAAATAAAACGTGGCAGACTTTGATTCTTACACCTGAGTAAGCAACATCATCTCTTGTTTTCCTTTTCATAAGGCAAACCTTCCAAACCTGCTTTTGCTTGCATAAAATGGAGGCTGACAACATTTCAAGCAGAGATGCAGTTCAGATTGAGGTCACAAAAACTGAACTGTCTTTTATAGTCCTTGCAGCCCATCCAAACAGGATTCCTAGTTGTGTCTGTGCAGCTTCCCAGTGTAAGGGGACCCTTGAAATCTCTGATACAGGATTTTTGAAAGCAAAATGAACGAAAGTAAAAACTTCATTCTTAGAGTAACTGTGGTGGCCTCTTGTAGCCTGGAGAACAGGAGTGACGTGCTGAGCATCATCCCAGCAGGATACCTCCATAGGGTTGAGGCCACAGCCCCTGCATCAAGGCCATAGGTCTCCTCCTACTGTATGTAACTGTTTAGTTTCTTTCCTCCTTATCCGTTTCTGTTCTACTAAAAGAATTAATCTGTTGAATTTGGTTGCCAGCACTGCTTCAGAGCTGGAAAGTCTCACAGAAATGCAGCATATTTTGGGTACCGCACAGTACCTTTGCCGTGACAGGACAGATTTATATGAGATGTCAGTACCTTATTCCCAGTGGTTTAAGAACTTACTGCATGGGATTTGCTGAGGTCTGTACTGATTTTAACTTCATTAGTGAAAAGATGTTAAAATCTGAAAGTGTTAGAAAAAAAGGCTATGTTTTTTAAACCCTTTCAGTGTGATGTTCTTTGCCTGCATTGGATCTTCTGTCTCTGGACTACATAAGAAGCCAAGACAAACTCATGCTTATTTTCCTTTCTGCATCATGTCCGCTCTGCCCACCCAGCGTATGCTAAACCTGCATAAAGCTCTTGCCAGGGTCTCCAGCACTGAGTGTAAGAAAACAGCCTCCTCTGCTGTTTATGCTGAATGAGCAGTCTCCTCCTCCCCTGAGACCCAGTGTATCCTTTCCATCACACACTCAGCCTTGCCTGGCATGCGGTGCAGTGCTTCACGTCTGGTTTGCACCTGATTCCTCTTTGGATGTCAGCCTTCAGAGCAGCTGCTTGCTGCGGTTGCCCTGGGCCTTCACATATCTAGGTGGGATTTAATGTCAGTTCAGCGTAATCACAAGTACATAACAAAAAGATGTATGGGGGTAAAACACAGGATGCTATCCCTGCAAAGTCCTGAAGAGTTTACCAGCCCTTCAGTCCTGAGGTAGATACATACATGGTAGGAAAAGGAGTGGAGCATATGATCTTTGCAGTCGTATCAAGTGCATTTTGAGGTCAGTGAAATAAAAAGGTCTTATTTTCAGATTGTTGGCATCACATCACCTTATCTGATTCAAAAAATGTCTATGCAGTAATACTAAAGTTTTTTAGGTATTTATTGTAAGCATGTTTTTTATGGCAAGAGTGTGAATACTTCCAGCTTTAGTAACAAAGAGTAAGGCTGGGAGAGCTGGCCTAGGAAGCACAACAGAGAAGAAGTCCAACCAGTGGATGCAGAGAGCAAAATCCTTCCCCATTAAGGCTGTAGAATTGTAAATGAAGTTACACTGAAGTTTTAGAGATGAGACATAAATGTTCCTCTGACCACACCTCAGTTCTTTCTGGTTAAGTCCTTCCAGGAGCATAAATGAGAAAACATATAGCTTAAGCCTAATATCTGTTGTCAGGTTTATCATGGCTAAGGATGTTTCCAGAAAGATGATATTGTTAAAACTGTACTTTAAATAGAATAACATTAGGGTATGCACCTGAAATTTGATCTTCCAAATAAAGCTGAGGTTTACTGGCTACTCTTGGCTAAAGAAATGCAAATAAACCTTTGTTGATCCTTTAAAAAAAATATCTGTTTGAATTCATCAACCCTTTATTCCAACATGCCCATTTATCTATAAGGTTTTTGCTATAAAGTTCAACAGCTTACCATCATGGGTTAATAATTACCTCCAGCCTTCCATAAAAGAATAATTAATAGATCCTTTACTCACTAATATCCACTGTTAGTTATCTTTATGCTTGAGTCAACTCTTCCATCAGGGAACCTAAAGATAATGTGGACCTTAAAAGAGATACCTGAAAAGATTGAATTGAGAAAGTTTTATTGTTACTAAAATGTCAGGTAAAACCTGGAACTGTTTTTTCCAGTGCCTTTCCACTCATTCTCAGCCTATTAACTGTGAGAGAAGCACAGGTATCTCTCCTTTAAATAACTCGCCTGTAGCAGTAATTGCAGGGAGCATATACGTGTTGACATTTATTATTCAGCTTTTCTGCTTGCTGGTGTTTTGAAATTCAGTCAATATTTGACCAAAGAAACAGTCTGATTTGGGACTCCAAGCACCAGGTCCATCTTCAATGTGCAAACTATTGAGGATATGAATGAGTAAATGATTACATTCCTAGTGCTTTCTACTTCCAATGCTCAGATTTGACTGATGCATTGTCACTATCCTTTCCTTTTTCAACAAACATTTTCTGCAAAATGCTAGTTCTGCCACAAGGGCTTCAATTCAGTTCTGTGACTTTGACTTTGTTCCACTGTTTAAAAGGTGTTCGCCTTAAGCAATGTCTTCAGGCTGAAGCACTGAGCTTCATTAGACGTATAGGTCTCAGAGCTGCAAAATAAGAAATCATCACATTTCTATAGCAAGTTTTATTAAGCATTTCAACTTATTGCGCTAATGAGTTTATGCTGTAAGTTTTTATGAAAATCTTTTTAATCCACTCAAGTGGCTTAAGGGACAAAGATCTACTTTTAAATGCTTCCCTGAGAAGTTTACTTCTGGGGCTCTAAAGTCAGCACTGAGTGCTTCCCTTTCCCCTTGCATCCTGCATTCCATGTTATGCAATAGTTTCTAAGGTGGGGGTCAGGCTCTTCTCCCAGGCAACAAGTGAAAGGGCTAGAGGGCATGGCCTGAAGCTGCACCAGGGGAGGTTTAGGTTGGGTATTAGGAAACACTTCCTCACAGAAAGGGTGATCAGACATTGGAATGGACTGCCCAGGGAAGTGGTGGAGTCACCGTTCCTGGATGTGTTCAAGGAAAGGCTGGATGTGGCACTTAGTGCCATGGTCTAGCCAATGTGTTGGTGTTGGTCATAGGCTGGACTTGATAATCTCAGAGGTCTTTTCCAGGCTCAATATGTCTGTGATTCTGTGATTTTGTAATTTTGGAATAACCTTAAAGTAAATAAATCCTGTATGTGAAATTTCCCCACGTCTTTCCTTCTAAACCCAGGATACTGACTCTATCTTTCACCTCTTGCTAGCATCAGTCTCTGTGTTTGTGTTCATCCAGCTAAATCAGAAATCAATCCAGCTGAAAACTAACTTGAGAAAAAAGAGAAGAGACTTGTTCCCTGTTTCCCTGATATGACTCACCCCAAGGTAACGCAAATGCCCATGACAGGATTGAACAGTCAGATTTAAGCAGCTGCACAGACATAGGGCAGACAGAAGTGATCAGGTAACCGGGGTCTACAAATGACAGTTATTTAAACACAACCCCAAAAAAACAAACAAAGAAAAAAAAACAACACACACACACACACACAAAAAAAGAAAAAACAAAACCAAAACAAACCCCACAAAATTTCCACAATGAAATATTCTGAATAGTTCCACAAGATTAATTGCTCTTTTCATGTGCAGATCCACTGTTTATTAAGCATCATTTGGATTGAATACTGAAACATTCTGCAAAAGTCATCTTTAGAAATAAATTTTTAAAAAATGAGAAAGGGAGCATTGCAAAGAAAATACTATTATTTTTAAACCCGCATTTTCCAAAGACTTTATGTTTTCAACATTTTGCTATTGCAAATCACAGTTCACTGTTTCATGCAAGCTATTTTTTATTCTTCTCTTTGCAGATCGAATTGCACAGAACATCATTAAATCTCATTTGGAGACATGTCAATATACAATGGAGGAACTACACCAGCTAGCGTGGCAGACCCACACATATGAAGAAATTAAGGTTTATCAGAGCAAGGTACAATCCTGTAATATTATTTTTCTTTGGCTTCCTATAGTTTGAAATTGTTAATAGTGTAAAGTACTTGGCAAGTATATGCTGGTGAGTTTCCTGCAGGTCAAAATACACTTTTAAATGTCTTTGAGGAGCTGGTTACTTAAAGTAAAAGAGGAACACTTCATAAGAAGAGGCAGCAGCCTTCCAGCAAGATGGGATTTTTTGCTAATGTTGAAGCTTAGGCATTGCTATGGAATCCAGCTTTCATTGTTCTGCATGTCTTCACTTTATCCAGAAATTCAGTTGAATTCACATGATCAGGATTGGAGCCTCTGTTTTAAGGATTTTAAGAAAATAAAACAACCTTAGTTTCCTTGTAAGTTTGAAAACACATCCCCTTTTAATGTGAATAACAAATATCTGTTACTTACAGATAATGACAAACTGAAAATACTCCTTAAACTGAAATTGTTTAAAACTGGTTAGAAAAATTATCTCATTGCAGTACATTATTTTTCTCCCTCTGTGATTCTCAGATCAAATTCAGATTATTTCCCACTAGCATCACTTCAGATGTAGTCCAGTCAACAGAAGTCTTTGTGCCTCTAGGGCTAGCATCACTAGCAATGATTCTTCAGTCAGATTTTGGTTGCCATATTAGCTGATCACACAAGAGACAGAAGAGACACCACAGCTTTCTCTGAAAGCTGAGGGGCTATGCAGTACTAGCAAGAATCAAAACAAACCACAGCTTCCAAAGCTGTGACACGCAAACCAAAAGTATCCCTATACATTTACACTCTTGTGAGTGCAAGGAAAATTACCAAGGAGACAAAATTCTCATGCAATCAGTGTTCAGATTGCCATGATAATATAACTTCATGTTAAGTTTCAAACTAGCGAAAATGTTCTGTTGGATAACTTGGTAGCACTGTGCCACTTCTTCCCTGAGAGTACTCTGGGATGTTTACATTGTTTGTGCCACTGTTTATCTTGCACAAAAGTCGACATTAGAATAATATTTTAACACTGGATGATGCATTCTCCCCTTTTGAAGAGACAATGTCAAAGTTCAGATCATTGGGACAACTGGCTTGTGAAAACAGGTCTCTAATGAAAAGAGTCAGGTACCTTGAGACGCAGAGATGCTGCTAGCTCTGGAGGCAGAGTCTGAGGAGAGTGCCTTTACTGCAAGACCAACTGAACAGCTTCACACACTGGTGAACCCACCTACTCACTGCCTTATTTTTCTGTGTGTGTTTTCCCGGAAGACCCGAGAAGCTCTGTGGCAGCAGTGTGCCATTCAGATCACCCATGCTATCCAATACGTGGTAGAGTTTGCGAAGCGCATAACAGGCTTCATGGAGCTGTGCCAGAATGACCAAATTCTTCTCCTTAAGTCAGGTGGGTAAATGCCAGAGGCTTGAGACTGGTTTAGCACCCAGCACATTAGAAATGTGTTCTGCTGTCTTGTTCTTTAAATCATTTTAATTTTGAAGGAGCTCTAATTTCAGACTGTTTCATTAGCTACATTAACCCTTCTGTATTTTTCCACATTAATCATGTTACTGCCTTCTGATCCTCTTCCCGCTACAGTTGGTAGTGGTTATTAAGTACACGCACACAATCATTGCAGGAGCTGCAGTCTCCAACATGACATGTGGTGGAAGGACCCTGCGAGTTGAGCTGGTCGAATCAGTCATCTGCCACCTGTAAAATCCCCACTTGTCATTAGTGAAACGAATGCAGGCCCACTGGGGCCTGCCTCTGTGGTCATCTCTAATCTTTTTAATGAGACTGCAGAAATACCCTCTAGCCAGTGCACAGGAGGGAAAATCCCTGCTGGCGCCAGTTGGGTTCAGAATAAATGAAAGTGGATTACGGCAGCATGCTCTGGCCGTGCTCTCTGTGCCTACCTGCGTGTACACATGTATGCATAAGGGCAAGGGGGGAAAGGCTTTCTTTCCCCATCATGGGACTCAATTGTTTCTGTCCTACAGAAGAATCATTACAAGATTTATCATTATTATGTAGTAACACTGCCGGACTCAGGAGGAGAAAATGGCATGATCAAGTGAATCGTGCTGGTAGTTAACTGCATTTACCCTGTCATAACAGTTTCTTCCTCCCTCTGTGTGTAAAAGGCAGGATGCTGTGTAAGGCAGCTCATTAAACCGTAAGAAGTGCTTCCTATTTCAAGACAGAGCTCTTCATTAAGGCTGAAAACTACTGTGATTCAGGGTTCTGTACACAGAGGGCTCTGGCTCATTGGGGCTGGACAGAGATAATGGGCACACGCACTAAGGGGAGGGATACGTTGGAAACACACATGCAACCTCCTGAAAAAAAACAGTCATAAAATTAGAACTATTTTTTTAAAGCTCATACTAATTTTGAAAATTCTGCAGATGCCAGAGCATCCCAGGTAGCTTCCTTGATTTGGCTAGCAAAGCTAACAATACAGAATCCCAGAGTCACAGAATCGTCATGCTTGGAAAGGACGTCTGAGATCACAGAGTCCAACCATCAACAGAAAAAAAACCAAGCAAACACAGATAAACACACACACTCCACCTACTTCTTCAGCAAAAGTTATAGCTGTATTCAACAGTACTGTCAGAGAGGTCTGTTGAGCTTCAGCACATAGATATATGTGAGATTTTATTTTCTGTTTTCCTGGTAATGCTGAATAGGAGTTAGAAAATCAGGGCTTTTCACTCAAAAGCATGTCTGGAAAATAATCTTCATATTCAGAGTTCCTCTCACAGGAAACGTGAATAGTTGGATTAATTTTTTTCCTTCATTTTCCCAAACTGTATATTTTTGCAGTTAGGAAATATTAAGGAACGGTAAGGAGAAAAAAAAAAAATATTCCTTTGGTTATACCCAAACTTGAAAGAAAAATAAGGGAATAAAAACTAAAATTCACTTTAGAGCTGTTTTTGACAGTACCTTAACTATATTTTCCCTATGAAAACACTATGATTTTCGCCTGCTCCTGACAGATTAAGCTTGGATTTATATACATGATGAATTAACCTGTTTTGTTTAGGGTTTATTTAATTAAAAAGGTTTAAATATTAAAAAGAAGTTTCAATAAATGCCTCATTTGTACGATAAAGTCTTTCCAATTGAAAATATTTGTCCAGGTCCAAATTCAGATTAAGTCCAGGCTAGCAATTTGCTGCAATGGGAGAAAAATCAACCTAAAAAAAAAGGTAGTTTGGCTGGACCAGATGTTATCCCTTTCTGTACTCAAAGCAGACAGAAATTTTGTTTTGCTAATTCAGAGTCATATCAACAAATAGGATCTATCCATGCTCATGTTTCTAATGTCCGATGCCTTCCTAAATATTTTCTTGAAATTTCCTGTATTCTGAGGTTTTGAAGTAATGTGTGGTCCTTTTGCTCTTTTTCATGTCTGATAGGCTGCTTGGAAGTGGTTTTGGTGAGAATGTGCCGTGCCTTCAACCCACTCAACAATACTGTTCTGTTTGAAGGAAAGTATGGAGGGATGCAAATGTTTAAAGCCTTGGGTATGTTGATCTTATTTTCAACCAGTTACGTTGAGCCACACAGTGATAGATTTGTCTTTCTGAAAATAGTGACCCACAAAAAAAATCTCCAGTAGATGCTGAATCCCCATAACTCAAAATCTCTAGAGTGGAACTGAAGAAGGAGGAGGGTGGCTCACCTTCTTCCTGCTGGTAGCAGTGATGGGGGATCTTCTCCAATAAAAAAGAGCAGCATGAAGTTTTTTTCAGATAAATATCTTACTCTACCATCTGAAGTTTTGATAAAATGTGAGTTTATGGCACAAGCCAAGCAGTTTATCTTCACAGTTCAGATGCCCATGAAATATCAAATCACTCTTTCTGTTGTGTCCTGCAGAAGGCAATTATAGCCCCAGCAATGAGGGAGCTAAAATGATAAACTGTTACAAAATATATACAAGGACTTACCTAAAATACTGTTTTGCCTAAAACTTTCAAGCTTGTTTAGTTTCATGTTTTGACACAATTGCTTCATTTCTTGACATGATACTGAGCGCTACCTGATATGTTAATAGCTAAATAGATGTCTTTTGCTTATCCATGAAACTGATACACTATCAGAAATGTATTCAGGACCAAACTCAAAGAGAGGTATTTGGGTATTTGCTTCAAATACATATATAAGTAATTTTTTTCTTACTTGCATATGGATAAATGTAACACTACTTTAGCAGTTTAAAGCATTTCTGAATATGTATTAATTTATTTTGGTTTTTCATTTTTTCCTACACATTTTCATAAATATTTGTGCTGTTAATTAATTAATTAAATTCTATATGTGAAAGTTATTTAGGACTCCTTATTAATACATCTCAGATTTAATGTCTGTGTAGAAATTTTTTTCAACATTAAGAAAACCCTCTTCTAAGATGTCTGTGATTTTTGTATAGGTCATGCCTCTAATTCTTGATATTTTTTGTGCTTCAATGGGAGTTTTAGTAAAACATTTTCAGGATAGGTAGACTTTTAATAGCTGATGAAAGCACTTGTTTTTAAAGTACAAGCATTCATTCACAGCTTCTTACACCAAAACAATCCACTTTTCACAGCAGGTTAAAGAGCTGGTAAATTGATTTTATCCTCTGTGTTCTGCAGGTTCTGATGATCTGGTGAATGAAGCGTTTGACTTTGCAAAGAATTTATGTTCCTTACAGTTAACTGAAGAGGAGATTGCCTTGTTTTCATCTGCTGTTCTGATATCACCAGGTAATTTTTTAATCCAAACACCACAATGATATTTTTTGTTTCATCCATGTCCACCTCTATTCCTACCCACTTGAACTGTTGTTTAAGCTGTATTAAGTAATATTATACATGCATATACCTCACTGTATTTCTAGCAGACTGTCAGCAATTACACGTACCAGAAACAGATCCATGGTTGGGGGTAACAGCCTCAAACAGGGTTATGGAGACAAGCAGTGCAGTCTAATATTTCTCCAGACCATGCACAGAGAAGCATGACACTCAGGGAGGTGCATGTTTCTTCTAGCATTTTCAGGGAGCTAAAACCTCACATTCTTAAGCAGATTGTATCGTGTGTAACTATGATGGACTTTTTCTGTAGGGATAAGAACATGAGCAGTAAAAATCTGTATGAGGTCCTGTCTGAATTTAGCTCCAGATGAGAACTGGTGATTCCAGGGGCAAAATACTCGTTTTCATTTATTCATATATTGTAGCTCTCCACAGGCAAGCATGCATCCAGTGAGTGCTAGATGTCTGACTGAAGAAAAGACATTTTGTGATTGAATTGACTCAGAAGATGGACCTAGTAGATAAACTCACAGCTTAGTGTGGGATTTTTAAACATGCCAAATTCTCACCAAGAGTAACCTCCTGAAAGGCCTTTACAAAAAATCCCGCCATTAATTATTTTTCCAACCTGTTCTGCTAAAGACTTCCTCTAGGTCAGTTTGTCCTTAAGCACATGTGTGATGGAGATTATGTTATGCAGAATTAGACTAGCACAAATGGTGTCAACCTGTTCATTCTCATCGTTAACGACACCTAATAAAAAGACTCTGCTCCTTTTATTTTCCCTTTGAGTAGTTCTTGCAGTCATCTCCTCCATCGTGAAATGGTTGAGTTGGTTGCTCTTTGTGGTGTTAGACTAGGATATTCCAGAGATAACCCTCCAAACAGCCACTATTTCCACCTCAGAGGTCCCAACTGTGCACAGGGATGAGAGTTGCATGTGTACTATCCCCGAGATGCCCCAGTCTCCTCAGGGACAGGGAATTTGCAATGTCCTGATGGGTCTATCAGCCCTCCCTTAGTCTGAAATGACCAAAGTTGCAAGCATGACAGAGATGTGCCGCCAGTGCTTGCTCTTGGTTATCATTAGTGGCCAGTTCAGCAGACTAACTCAGTGCAAAGCTGAAGACAATCTGTAAATTTGTTTGGGGTCTTGGGTGAAGAGTTCTTCTATAAGATGTTAATGGAGACTGCAGAAGATGATTTCCATGTTTTCAGCTGACTTCATTTTGAAGCCAAGTAAGGCAGGAAAGGGATGTGGGATCCTTGTTTCTCCTTTGTAACAGCTGGGTATTTTTTACTCTTCAGTTTAGTTTCTAACAGTTAGGAACAGTAAAAGTAGCAGTTGGCTGACAGAAACAATAAGATAATTTTGAAGCTGACTTCAAAGCACTTTGGATCTGGTGAGGGCATCTTATCTGTAGTGAGAAAGAGAATTCAGTAGTGCAGTTTCTGTGAATAAGTAATGTTTTTACCCAGCAGAACATACACCCATGCAAGTCATGAGTAGCCAGTTTCTCCAAGAAAATGCTGAAAATATCATTGTCAAAGGCTGTACTGAAGTCCATCTAAACGACATCCACAGCCTTTCCCTCATCCATTAAGCTTGTCAGCTTATCATCAAGGAGACAATATTAGCCAAGCACAACCTACCCAGTTCTAGCTGGGCTTTGGCCCTTCTAATTTTCTCCATAACCTCATGACATCTTTGTAGTCCCCCTGAGTGGCCTGCATCTTCTTTCAAAGGCCATAAACTTTGCTTTTTATTCCCCAAGTTCCTGGCAAAGCTCTCTGTTCAGCCAAGCCAATCTTCTTCCCTTCTAGTTCATCTTTCAGCATAGGGGTATGGCCTGCTCCTGCTTCTTTAAGATTTCCTTCTTGAAGACTGTCTAGACTTCCTGGACTCCTTTTCCCTTCAGGACTGCCTCCTAAGGGATTCTGTCAACCAGTCTCCTAAACAGGCCAAAGTCTGCCCTCTGGAAATCCAAGATGGCAGTTTTGCTAACCCCCCTCCTTACTTCTCCAAGAATCAAAAACTCCCATCACTTCATGATTGCAATGAACAAGATTACTTCCAATTGCCACAGCACCCCTGAGTCCTTTTCTGTTTGTAAGCAGCAGGTCCAGCAGACCCTAGCTGGCTCACTCAGCATCTGTGTCAGGAAGTAATTTTCCATATATTCCAGGAACCTCATAGACTGTTTCTTCTCTGCCATATTGTATTTCCAGCAGACTTCTGGGAAGTTGAAGTCCCCCATGAGAACAAGGGCAAGCAATTGAGAGATTTCTCCGAGCTGCCTAGAAACTATTTTGTCTGCCTCTTCATCCTGGTTGGGTGGTCTATAACAGACTCCCAGCATGATATCTGCCTTGTTAGCCTTCCCCTGATTTTTACCCATAAATACTCAACCATATCATCATTATCTTCAAGCTCTGGACAATCAAAATATTCCCTAACATACAGGACCACTCCACTGCATCTCTTTCCTTGCCTGTTTCTTCTGCAGAGTCTGTAGCCATTGAGTGCAGCACTCCAGCTGTGTGAGTCACCCTACCGTGTTTCTGTGACAGTAACTATACCATAGCTTCCTGCTGCACAATGGCTCCCAGCTCCTCTCTTTAGTTGCCCATGCCCGTGCATTTGTGTAAATGCACTTCAGCTGGCCTATTGATCCTACCACCTTTCTGAGGGAAGAAGCCCCAGCTCCTACCTGATGATTCTCAGGTAACTCCATAGTTTTTAACCCATCAATATCCCTTGTGTCCTTGCTATTGGATGGCTTTCCATCTTCTGCCTCCACTGAGATGGCAGACCAAAGGACCTCACTAACACACCACCCCACAAACACTGGTGTGCCAGCCCCAGGCTTATCTCAAGTGAGCCTGGTTTTATTCCCTTCCCCTTCAAATCTATTTTAAAGCCCAGTCTATGAGCCCTGCTAACTCCTGTGCAGAAATCTTCTTCCCCCTTTGAGACAGGTACCTTGTCTGTCACCAGCAGACCTGGTATCACATAAAATGAGCCATGACCAAAAAACATAAAATACTGCTGGTGACACCAGGCTTGGAGCCAGGTATTGATGCACCAGCTCTTCCTCTTTCTTCCCTCGTCATTCCCTGCAACTGGAGGAACAGAGAACACTACCTGTGCTCCTGATCCCAAGGCCTTAAAGCCTTTCTTGAATGTCATCAGACTTCTCATAGCAACTTCATCACTACCTACCTGAAAAACCAACAATGGATAAAAATCTGAGGGCAGTACCAGGGCAGGAAGCTCTTTTTGGGTCTAAGAATGCTTCTGTTACACTGCAGCATGCTCCATGACAGATAAGCGATTAAACCTGTCCTCCAAGAGCCTAAGCCTATTTTTAAGTTTATTCTTGTAACAGAAAGATAAATTTTTAAGGATTGATCTCTATGATAGATCTGTTTAGCTCAGTCTGCTGCAATAGGCCTTGACTTAACACTATTGAAAGGCATATTTTGCAATAGCATAAAATTCAGCACCTAACCTGTGAAGTCTGAATGTTTATTTGCATAGGTGCTGTGTGTGCTCTGAGCTAGTTCTGTTTCTGTGGCCACTGATGGCGTTGGATCCATTGGATTACTTTCTGGGAGCATGATTCTCTAACCTTTGCAAAAACCTTTATTTCTTTTCCTGATCATCTGTTAAATAGCTAAAGGTGTGGTTTTGTCTCTTTTCACTGTACTTGGTGATGGACACTTTTCATACACACCTTTCCACAGACAGACAAATAACAGAATCCTGCTCCTCCTGTGATGAAGTACTATTCAGCTCCAGCCTCTCTGGCATGTGTGCTCACTGAAATGATCGATTTATGTTATTTCCATGGATTATTATTAGTTACTGGGAGTAGGCTAAAGAGCTCTGAAAGGGATTTTTCTGCACTTCTCAATTTGTACATGAAGATTCATGTCTTATAATATATGTTTTTATTTCCTGTTTGAAAGCTAAAATCTATATCCAAGAATTGGCCTAGATTGAGGGAGAAAACAAGGAAGAAATATGTTTGCAGCATAGGAAAAAAGAAAGTTTAATGGTGCTTTAAACACACTGTATTAATGATTTTGGGGTTGTCTTGGTGTCTGCTACTTCTCTTTCTGTGTGTTAGTCTCCAGAAACTATAACCTGTGAGAACAGGTATCTTGAGGAAGACCTCCTGCACTTGGGGTTCGAGTTCTGCAGAACCCATATAGGTTTCCAACAACTGTGTCTATAACTGTTATTCTCTCAGATAATCTTTTATTTTGTGTTGGTTAAAGAGAGAACATTTTTAAATAATGAGAAATTTGCACTGCAAGACACTGCAACAACTCATAATTCTTTTGAATTATTAAGGAAATTCTTTTGAAGAAAGCCATTTCTTTTTATTCAAGATATGATATTTGGTCTCAAAATGTTAGCCTAGTAAATAATGAGACATAGTTAATTTTTAAATAATTATGTTCTATTATTTTCAAGGAACTGTTTTGATCTATGCGTTTATTACTTTTGTATTAAGACACTGAGGTAACATTACATGCTTTTCACCTAGCCACTAAGAAGTTAGAACATTGATTGTACCAGCACAGAATAATAAAATGGCTGGGCTTTGTGTCATTTCTTCTCTCATCTTTATTTCTAACATCCTTGTTTAAATAAAGAGATGCAGAATTGACATGGTGTTCCCGTGCACTTTGTAACTCTGAAGGCATAAAGATACGTTGTCTCTGAAACGATGTATTAATTATCATGCAGTCCTTCGTCATGGGAATTATGATTGCTGTGAATGTTTGCCAGCTTGAGACCCTGTGTTCATCCGTGAGAAAGCCCCACATCCCTGTGTTCTTGACTTTAGCTCTTGCTTTCCTTTTCCTCAGATCGAGCCTGGCTAATAGAGCCAAGGAAGGTCCAGAAGCTTCAGGAGAAGATTTACTTTGCACTTCAACATGTGATCCAGAAGAACCACCTCGATGATGAGATTTTGACAAAGGTAAACTGTTAAAATAAAGAGCCAAACACTCCTTGGTTGTGATTTATTTTGTTTTTCAGCAATTTTTCCATGTGCTGTTGCATTAATGTACGTTAAAAGAAGTACACTTTGTTGTAGCAATGTATAGGAGGAGTAAGGCTGGTTTTATTCCTGCCCTTTGTCCATTTGTTGTTCAATCCACTAATCTTTTTAACTGGTAAACTAGAATGAATGAGATTGCCTTTAAAAACACATCTCTGGATGTACCTTGTTAAATGCCTTTTTGACACTTGCCCAAAATTTCCAGGACAATTGTTTTCAGCCTCTTACAGTAAGAACAATATTTGGTTCTTTCATTGGGTAGTTTTGGTGGAGTTCAGAGTATTGTGTTCAGTTACCCAACAAGATGCTAGCAAAATTCATTTTGGAAACTGGAATTTATACTAAATTTGCCTTATCCCACTTTCTTTTTCTTTTTATTTTAATGTCTCACAGTTAATAGCCAAGATACCAACCATAACTGCACTTTGCAACTTGCACGGAGAGAAACTACAGGTATTTAAGCAATCCCATCCAGACATAGTGAACACACTGTTTCCTCCATTATACAAGGAGCTGTTCAATCCAGACTCAACTACTGGCTGCAAATGAAGGGGATAATAGAATTTTCACGTAGTCATGGAATGCGTCACTATTAAGACAAAAAGAAATGTTTTAATGAAGAACTTATTAAAAATGTCACTACTGCAACACTAGGAATGTCCTGCACTTAATAGAATTACTTTTCACCGCTACAGTCTGAAGAATGTAAATATGCAACTCTTGAGTGGGGATGTCTTTTTCTCTTTTCTTTGTTTACTTTTTGGTTTGGTTTGGTTTGGTTTTGTAACTGACAGTTAATATAAAAATATAGGACACTGGGTGTAATCTTTTTTTTCTTTTTTTTGCTTTTTTAACTGGGGAATGTTTTGGGAGACAATTGTTCCTAGAATTTTATTGTAGATATACATGAGAATAGAGCAGTACTTTGCAGTATTACTCTTGCTGTTTATTGTTCAAATATAATTTAAGAAAATTTCACTTATTAGACTTCCTATTTCTATGTTTTTAGATAGTTTAATGCATGTGGAAGTTTGTAGCTGTCTTGGAAAATATGGTGCATGTATGGAATACATATATATATATATATGTGTGCTATATACTTTTTATATATATATATATGTAGGTATTATTTGCATACATGCTGTAGCTTAAAAATCCCATGCCTACTTTTAAAGGGTGCTTGGCCCAACTGTCATGCATTTCTTATGCTCCAAGTAATGTACTAGATTTACTTCGGGCAATCAAGATTTGCTTTGCCAGTCAAAGTTAAATTATCAGCTGCCAATGTGTAATGACAGGATCACTTCTGAGATATGTGTAATGTAGTGCATGTGTGCAGTCTGGAAATGAAACATTAGGAATGTATCAGTGGTGCAAAAGCCTTGTCTGGATAATTTTAGTGGAGAAAGGAAAAGTTTTCTGGGGAATTTTCTCCCAGTTACAGGGATAGAGCATATTTGAAAGTGAACACTGTGGGACCTGATGTCAGTAAAGTATCTGAAACACGGACTAAAACGTAGACTATCCCACATGTCCTTTTTTTTTTAATTCTATACATGGTTTTATTTTTCATATACTGCTTGAAAAAGTAGTTGCAAGGCTTAGGTTGGCTTGGTTTTTTAACTCAATGAAAAGACATATAGTGAACTCCGTGAAACAATAGGAAACCTAAAATGTAGCTCTGAATAGTAATGGCAGAAGAAGAAAGAGAGGGAAGGAGGAGGAGGAACGTCAAAGCAAGTCATGTCCATGGTTACAACAGCAAATATAGCTATCCCTGTTTCTCACACAGCCACCATCTAGATGGGACTGAATTTTTTCATTACACACATACATATATGTATGTTACATACACAGGCATGTATATGCCTGTATGTATATAACTGTAGATACATACATATATAGGACTTATTTTAGATGCACTTCAGCAGGGGAGCAAGGGATTGGGACTTTCTGTCTATCTCTGACTTTATGTGCATTTGCTTGCAAAACCAAAGGCAAACACAGAAGGGAGTGGAAGATTGCTATGGACTTAATCTTGTGGATTAATGAAGTTTAATTAGCAGTTTTGATTAATGCATTTGCATTTTGCCAGAGATACAAAACTTAGACTTTTTAGCTAAGGAAGAGAAGTTCAGTTTCTGCTGTGTCTCCGTTCTTACCATCACTTTCACCCATTGTGAGTTTTGTCAGTGAAGTCTCTTCTGGGGACATCACTGGAGGGAGTGTAAGCAGACAGTAAAGAAATTAAATGAAGGCAAGATAATGAGCAGAAACATTTCTTTATTTCAAATCCCACAGAAGTCAGTAGAATCTGAGGGAAGGTGAGAAAGAGCGTGCTGGCAGGGAGGCCAAAGAACCCTTCATCTGCCAGGCTGTGCAGCAGAGTGGTGTCTCAGGGAGCCCACAGGGACACAGCTGGACCCCAGGGTGGGTGCAGAAACTTGGTTTGTTGCATTGATAACTTAATGCCTCCAGCTTTGCAGCAGATTCACATAGCTCTGTTGACAATCTTCTGCGTCCTTTTCTGCATGAGCAAGTAATTCACAGGCTGTTCCAAGTACTTTGAGGAGTTTTTTCTTGCCCTCCCTCAGCTGGTTTGCAAGTTTACATACATGTTTTATGGAAGAATATGGTATAGACAACATCATCAGTTGTTCACTCTGTTTTAGCCAAGACAGATAAGGTACAAGAGCAGTTTCAAACTCCCAGCTAAAACGTGTTTCTCTGTAAATTTATTACAACTTAAAAAAAAAAAAAAAAAAAAAAAAGACTGCACAGTAAAGTCAGTTGTGCTGATAATTTTGTTGCAAACATGACATGCTCTTCAAAATTACTTAGTCCTATAGAACAGCAATCTCTAAAACACCTTTTTTGTTCCAAATTCAGAGCATATTTTCTGATCTCTACTTATTACATTAAAATGTCTTCAATTAACGTAATAAAGCATTGTTCTGGTGCTTCTTTATATAACTTAAACCCGAAGACTAGCATTCCTTTTATAAGGTAATTTATCTGTTTGCAGCTCTCCTTATATGGGAAATCCATGAGAAAGACCCCAAACCCGAACTAATATAAAAAATAATAATATTTATGTACTGCTTATGTGAGTTTATTTGGGAAAAAAATCAAGTCAAACTGAACCCTAGAAGTGCTCAGTTCTAATTGCAGGGGATTTGTGTTTTCTTTGTATTTTTCAACACAAGAATATACACATATATATTTGGATTAAATTCCTTTTAAATTTGTTCTCAGTACATCAAAAGTAACATATTTAGCCAATCCACAGAAATAAAGAATATGTGCTAAATACTACTGTTCTTAGTGCTGATGAATGAAGACGTTTTTCATGTTCATGAATAGTCCTTCACAATTATGTTTTACATCTTGAAAATGTTTTGTTCTTTTCAAATAAGCTAATCAGTCCTTGGGTTTCTGGATTTGTGTCTTAGGCAAGATAGCCAAATGGAGATCACCAGTGAAAAAAAGTCATTATTTAATAATTATCTGCAGGGCATTTAATCCTTAAAGCACTGTTGTTAAATCGCTGCAACCTCATGACCTCTTCACTCAGTAAGGTTTACTAACACATTTTAAAGGTGCAGAAATGAAGGAAAACAAGCTAAATGACTTGCCAGAGACCAGAGAGTAGCAATACCCAGTGCTGGAATAAATGTGAATTCTTTTGTCCTAAAAATATTAAGATGCTGTTATACAAGATCTTCATTGCCATTGATAGGCAATAGCCTGTACAAAAATTTAAAATACTGCTATACAAATTCTTACCTTCAAATGAAGTTAATTATGAACAGCTTGCTCTATTTTTATTACTGCTTTTGAAGAATTTGACCAAATAACTTTGTTGTTTATTTGGAAAATAAAAATGCATTCTTATACATTGTTTGTGGTAATTAAGGCTGGTAATTTTTATTTCACCTTTTGTGATTTGGGATCATACACATAGGTAAAGTAGTACCTCTTTTTCCCTTCACTGACTGAAAAACAAATAATGATCACATACTGCAAGCTGAGTTTTTGTTGTTGGTTTTGATGCATAGTTACATATATTCAAAATATCAAATTCTTGATACTAGATTTCATATATCCAAGTAATCCATAGACTTTAAATAATAAAATAGCATTAATTCAAGTAGATAACTCCATAATCCACTTAAAAAATGCATTTCAGAGAATATTCGTGCTGTGCTTTACTTCTTTGTTTTCATTAGTCCACAGTAGTATCTGAAGCCCCTCAATCAAATCTCTAAAACTAGGATTTTTCATATCTGCTTTCTCTAGTAATTGGTTATGTTTGTTGATTTCTTTAGTGACAAGCTTTTTAAATGGGACACATTTTTTAATTCTTTATTAACCCAGGATCTTTAATGAAAGAATATTTAAAGTATATATTGAATCTTCTAGCATTGCTTTCAGATAATTCAGTCACATTGATCTAAATTATCCTTGGCATCAAGGAAGCAGATGTAGGATGTTCGTTACACTACCACAGGGTCTTAATTTTGGTGTAAATGTTACCCCTGACAGCTCTTTGTATAACTAATTAATTCCGACAGTCATTTATTCTCCTAATAGAAAGATTGCTTTAGTGACTGATAGAAGAAAAACAGGGTAATAGAAAGCACTCAGTTGAGACAACAGGTTTCCAGAAGCAGCGCTTATTTTTTTTATTGTTTTGTAATAGGCAGCATCTAGCAACTGATTCTGCAAGTTGTCAGGCTCCCTCAGTTCTAACTACAGCTACTACAAATGGTGATATCTCAGCACCATGCAGAAGGTGCCCAGCCCCTCATAAAGTTGGAGGCCTTTGAACTTTGTGAAGAACAAGTCAGATGTTATTCTTGCACTTACATTTTACTTCAAACTTCCTATTGTTCATTTCAGCTCTGTTTCACTTGGGACAGTTTTTCCTCCTGTTGCTCCTTGGGTGCCAATGCTGTCTAGATGCCTGTCCCAGGTTATGGTGCTCCAGGTGGAGCGGCTACCAGACTTTTACATGAAGATGAGACTTATTAGGTGATTTTCTTTATTCATTTTCACAGTGGCAGCTTTCACAGGTGTACATTTCCCTTTGGGATAGTTTGCAGGGATTTCTGATGTAACTTCTATACAAAGAGGATGCAAAGTTGCTCTTGTGCGCTGGCCTTTCATCCTGCCACCTCCAGGCTGTGGGAGCCTCTCCAAGGCTTGCTTCAACACTCACAAGTTGGTCAGGCAGCACAGTTAGAGATGTGCAGCTTATGGCTGCTTTCCCTGTTGTCTTTTCCACCCCCTCTGTAACTATGCTACAAAACTTATTTGAGATGTGTTCAGCCTTCCTCTTGATTCCTCTTAGATTGTGCTGTTTCCAGAAGAGCCAAAGTCCAACCTGGAAGCTGATTCCTATTTTCAGAGTCATGGTCTGTTGGACTTCTCAGGCATATAGCACTGGGCAATTCAGATCAAATTGAAACATCCGTTATGTCTATACCACATATTAAATGAAAACCTGAGACAGAACAGCTTGCTTTTGCTTGGCAATAACAAAACAGTGTATTTACACCTACCAACCTGTCCCAGCACTTTCTGCCTCCACTTTAGAAGCTATCTGTGTCTGAAATCCATTAGGAACAGTGTGTTAGGAGACCTAGTCCTCTTCTTTCCTTTTTAAGTTTCACGCTTTGTAAATGACAATCACTGCTTGACGCAGATGTTGCACTGTATGCCACTCAGGGACGTTTCATTACTAAAAAAGCTATATAAATGTAACAGTGGTAATAAGGAAGAGAATGTTAGAGGCATGGGTTGAGCTGCCCAAATGAACGTGACCCAGACAAGGCTTTTCAAGCCAGTGATTAGAAGTAATATTGGTATAAACTGAATTC